GTACATCTAGTGGAGCCCATGCCTTGTAATAGCGCCCCCTGCTGAGAGTACATCTAGTAGAGCCCATGCCTTGTAACAGCACCCCCCTACTGAGAGTACATCTAGTGGCGCCCATGCATTGTAATAGCGCCCCCTGCTGAGAGTACATCTAGTGGAGCCCGTGCCTTGTAATAGCGCCCCCTACTGAGTACATTTAGTGGAGCCCATGCCTTGTAATAGCGCCCCCTGCTGAGAGTACATCTAGTGGCGCCCATGCCTTGTAATAGCGCCCCCTACTGAGAGTACATCTAGTGGAGCCCATGCCTTGTAATAGCGCCCCCTGCTGACAGTACATCTAGTGGAGCCCACGCCTTGTAATAGCGTCCCCTACTGAGAGTACATTTAGTGGAGCCCACGCCTTATAATGGCGCCCCCTGCTGAGAGTACATCTAGTGGAGTCCATGCCTTGTAACAGCGCCCCCTACTGAGTACATCTAGTGGAGTCCATGTCTTGACGGGTTATGATGGGTGCTCATAAGGTTATGGCTGATATCGATGTAAATTCTCACTAACAATGCAATTCTTCCATTGTTTACATCTCCCAACCAATCCATTACTCTGCCCGGGGACATTTCTTATCTTCTAAACTCCTCCCCCTCCACCCAGCCACCATCTTCCTCCTCTGATTGAGCGACATCAGGCCAGAATGCTTTTCTGTGTCCCACCCTCCTCCACCCCGGTACAATGAGACAACGCAGACTCTTAAACATTGAAACACAAATTTAAATAATTTTCTGAATTATAAGAAATGCAACAAATCCTCAGAAGTGGTGAACAGGACTTACTAGGAACCGGCCGTGGACTGAAAAGGTGACAACTTGCTTTGTACCCCGGACTCCCGGGGTACAAAGCAAAACCCTTTGGGCTCATCTCATTCTCTGCAACGGAAAAGCAAAGAAAAGTCCAAAACAAGAAGTATAAAGCAGGGGCGGACTGACCATTTGGAAACTCGGGCACTGCCCGAGGGCCTGGGGTCAGTAGTGGGCCCCATGAGATGCCCCTGGTACCTTTTTCATAGGCTTTTTTGAGTTTGGGCAAGGACACAGGGGCCCCATGATCCCCTATTGCCCGGGGGCCCCATGATCCCCTATTGCTTGGGGGCCCCATGAGTTGTCAGTCCGCCCCTGGTGTAAAGATTGAATGTAGAAAACCTTGTGCCAACCTCCTCCTGTACCATCATGGCCTACACCAGAGGTGTCAAACTGGCGGCCCTCCAGTTTTGAAAAAAACTACTTGCCCAAGGGACTAAATCGGGTGCCCCAAATGACAATCTACTTGTCCGGATGAAAAAAAAAAAAATAAAAAATTTAACCAAAACCGTATTTAAATTGGAGGTGATAATTCCTCTGGTGGGAACGGAGTATTCCCCTCCAGGGAGGGATAATAATATTTGTGGGAAATGAATTAAAGATAGAAATGCACGTTTGAAGGATATATTGGATAAGGGAAATTATACTTTTCAAGATTTAAAAAGGAAAAAAGATTTTTCTTCACATTAGACGAGTGGCGGTATTATCAATGAAGGTATTTTGTTACAACCACTGAGGACGCTGGAGGATCTGTACCCCATTCGAAAAAAAACTGTTGTTGAGTTTAACCACTTCCCGTCCGGCCCATGTACATAAACGGCCAGACAGGAGCAGTGCAGGGGCCATTTTAGCCTGGGAGCGCTCCCTGGGTGTCTGCTGTGTACCGATCGCTCTATGGGACCTCTGTGTGAGGTCTCGATCATGTGATCTCTGATTGGCCAATCCGTGATCACATGAATAGGTGTAAGCAAGATGTCACTTCTGACATTGCTTACTATGTGTGAAATTGTGAATGATCACAGAGGTCACATGGTACAGGGCTATTCACAACAGCCTTGTACCATGTGACAAGCTGTGACCAATCACAGCTCACACAGTAGTTCTCAATGGCTGCCAGAGAAGGAGAAATGATTGCTTTTACCTGGACAGGAAAGGGGGGGGGGGGGGGAGAAAGCGTCCGGACTGGAAGGGGGGGGGGGGGGAAGCGTCCGGACTGAAAGGGGGGGGGGGGGGGGGGGGGAGTGTCCGGTCCCTGGAAGGGTCGGGAAGTGTCCGGACTGGAAGGGTCGGGGAAGGGGGGGGGGGGGAAGCGTCCGGACTGGAAGGGGGGGGGGAAGCGTCCGGACTGGAAGGGGGGGGGAAGCGTCCGGACTGGAAGGGGGGGGGGGGGGGAAGCGTCCGGACTGGAAGGGGGGGGGGAAGCGTCCGGACTGGAAGGCGGGGGGGGGGGAAGCGTCCGGACTGGAAGGGGGGGGGGGAAGCGTCCGACTGGAAGGGGGGGGGGGGAAGCGTCCGGACTGGAAGGGGGGGGGGGGGGGGGGAAGCGTCCGGACTGGAAGGGGGGGGGGGGGAAGGGTGAAGCCGTCCGGACTGGAAGGGGGGGGGGGGGAAGCGTCCGGACTGGAAGGGGGGGGGGGAAGCATCCGGACTGGAAGGGGGGGGGGGGGGGAAGCATCCGGACTGGAAGGGGGGGGGGGGGGGAAGCATCCGGACTGGAAGGGGGGGGGGGGGGAAGCATCCGGACTGGAAGGGGGGGGGGGGGGGGGAAGCGTCCGGACTGGAAGGGGGGGGGGGGGGGGAGCGTCCGGACTGGAAGGGGGGGGGGGAGCGTCCGGACTGGAAGGGGGGGGGGGGGAGCGTCCGGACTGGAAGGGGGGGGGGGGAGCGTCCGGACTGGAAGGGGGGGGGGGAAGCGTCCGGACTGGAAGGGGGGGGGGGGGGGGGGAAGCGTCCGGACTGGAAGGGGGGGGGGGAAGCGTCCGGACTGGAAGGGGGGGGGGGGAAGCGTCCGGACTGGAAGGGGGGGGGGGGAAGCGTCCGGACTGGAAGGGGGGGGGGGGGAAGCGTCCGGACTGGAAGGGGGGGGGGGGGAAGCGTCCGGACTGGAAGGGGGGGGGGGGGAAGCGTCCGGACTGGAAGGGGGGGGGGGGAAGCGTCCGGACTGGAAGGGGGGGGGGGGGGAAGCGTCCGGACTGGAAGGGGGGGGGGGGGGGGGGGGGGGAAGCGTCCGGACTGGAAGGGGGGGGGGGGGAAGCGTCCGGACTGGAAGGGGGGGGGGGGGGGGGGGAAGCGTCCGGACTGGAAGGGGGGGGGGGGAAGCGTCCGGACTGGAAGGGGGGGGGGGGGAAGCGTCCGGACTGGAAGGGGGGGGGGGGGGGGGAAGCGTCCGGACTGGAAGGGGGGGGGGGGAAAGCGTCCGGACTGGAGGGGGGGGGGGGGGGGGGAAGCGTCCGGACTGGAAGGGGGGGGGGGGAAGCGTCCGGACTGGAAGGGGGGGGGGGGGAAGCGTCCGGACTGGAAGGGGTGGGGGGAAGCGTCCGGACTGGAAGGGGGGGGGGGAGGGGGGGGGAAGCGTCCGGACTGGAAGGGGGGGGGGGGGGGAAGCGTCCGGACTGGAAGGGGGGGGGGAAGCGTCCGGACTGGAAGGGGGGGGGGGGGGGGGGGAGCGTCCGGACTGGAAGGGGGGGGGGGGAGCGTCCGGACTGGAAGGGGGGGGGGGGGGGGAAGCGTCCGGACTGGAATGGGGGGGGGGGGGGGGGGAAGCGTCCGGACTGGGAGATCTGGGGACATGCTGCATGAGACATTACATTAAATTCACATCAGTCCATAACCCTCAAGCAGCGTACAATCTAGGGCCCCTAACTCATATATATACGGGGTGGTATCAAAAAGTTTAGAGACTAGTTTTGTAACACACCAAACACACCAACAGAAGGCAGCACACACAGTCACAGGGAGTACCGACCTGTATAAGTCACTGTGCCAGAAGACATCGTCCTGTGTACAATCGGGAGCTGCGCCACTGGTGCTATGCTGACCACATGCGTTACATCTGCCGTTTCATCATGGACAGCAAGTCAGAACAAAGAGCAAAACGTGAAATTTCTGGGAGAAACCGGGCAACTCAGATGTCTGATATGGTGTGCTGAAATGAGTGGTTTGAGTGGCACGCGCACCTCAAGAGCAGAAGAACATCACTGAAGACGACGTGAGATCAGGAAGACCTTCAACGAGCTCAGCCCCGAAAACACTCCCTCTTCCCGAAGATGAGATCCAGCTCAAAGGTCACTGTTTTGACAACATTGCGGAGATCCAGCGATTTGCCCCGTTTCACGCAGAATTTCACATTTGTTCTTAGTTCTAACTTGCTGTCCATGATGAAACGGTAGGCGTGGTAACGCACGTGGCCAGAATGGCACAGCTCCCGATGTACACAGGACGAAGTCTTTTTGGTACACTGACTTATATAGGTCGGTGCTCCCTGTGACTGTGCGCACAGCCTTGTGCTGCCATCTGTAGGCGTGTTACAAAAACTAGCCTCGAAACTTTTTGATACCACCTTGTAGATTAGGGCCAATTTAGCCAATGAACCTCCCAGCGTGTCCTTGGAGTGTGGGAGGAAACCCACGCAGGCACAGGGGGAGAACATGCAAACTCCAGGCAGGCAGTGCTGTGGTTGGGATTTGCGCTGATGACCCGAGTGCTGCTAGGCGGAAGTGCTAACCACTTGGCCACTTATATGAACTCTTCCACTGCTGACTGCTGGGATCTGCACAACAAATAAAGGGCCACAAGTTGGGCATCAGCGATCTCCGCCATTAAGGGGGCTTTCAAAGAGGCAATTTCTCCCAAGCCCGGGACGGGGTTTGGTGGCAACATAGGTGGGGTTTCTGTGCAGCCTAACTACCTCCCACTCCCCGATGAACCATGTGGATGTCAAACAATACAAGATATCGACACACACAACACTTCCACTATGTTCGGCGATGGGCTTCGAATGACGTCATAGTGGCACTCCCATTGGGCGTCTTCATTGGGATCCATCACGAGGCAGCTCTTGCATACCGGTACACCTGTAGGGATTAGCATGACATGCCACACCTCCTAGCTCTAGGAGCCTGCATTGGGGGGGTGGAGAGGTGTTCCTGCCCTCCGATACTCCAAATACTTGCCAGCTTCTCAGTTTAGGAGAGCTCAGAGAGAGCCCCAGTGGGGAGACCGGTGCGCTTACCTTTATAGGTTACGGAGCTGTCTGCCATTAGGAGAACCGCCAGTGGGTGCACCATGGAGCTGTCCCGCACAAACACTGCGCCAGTGGACTTCACCGCCTGAAAATAGGTGAGCCATGGAGAGCGGAAAATGCAGCAGGTCCCTGCCAAGAAGACACAACGTATCACACGGAGTCATCTCTTTCACCAAACATCTCTACAGTCCTAGCCAAGCTTCCTCACAATGGACCCCTAAAGCGGGAGTACACGGCAAAAAAAAAACAAAAGGGGTCCCCTGCCCTGCACCCTGACAGCCTTACCTGCAAATGAAGCCCTCTAGTGCGGCGCTATCATGGCTCCCTCAACGCATCCATCTTCACCCAGTCTTCTTTCTGGGTTTGCAGGCTCCGGCTATTTGAATGGCCGGGGTCGCGATGACGTCACTCCCACGCATGTTCCCGGGAGCCGTGGCCACAGCACAGCGCTCTACATTGCACAGCATACTGTATACACGGGTGACGTCATGGGCTGTTGTATGAACATCTCCGAGATATTCATTGTACCTACAGGGAAGCGTGATTGGAAGATTCCCCGCTGGGGCAAGTTTAAATACAGATTCTACTACGGCTATAAATGTCCAGCCCATCCAAGTGATAATTCAGTAAAATGTGGAGTCTCAAGATCCAAGATTGATCTCCCAGAATTCCTGCCTCTCTTCCCCCCCAACCTTGTGTCATCATGGGTATCCACAAAATCCCAAGGTAGGACCTTGTGGGGGGGTCCGGCAGGGACGGCCGGACCCTTGCGGGGGATCCGGCAGGAACCTTGTGGGAGATCCGGCAGGGGGACGGCCGGACCTTGCGGGGGATCCGGCAGGGACCTTGCGGGGGATCCGGCAGGGACCTTGCGGGGGATCCGGCAGGGACCTTGCGGGGGATCCGGCAGGGACCTTGCGGGGGGATCCGGCAGGGACCTTGCGGGGGATCCGGCAGGGACCTTGCGGGGGATCCGGCAGGGTGACGGCCGGACCTTGCCGGATCCAAGATTGATCTCCCAGAATTCCTGCCTCTCTTCCCACCCAACCTTGTGTCATCATGGGTATCCACAAAATCCCAAGGTAGGACCTTGTGGGGGGGGTCCGGCAGGGACGGCGGGACCTTGCGGGGGATCCGGCAGGGACGGCCGGACCTTGCGGGGGATCCGGCAGGGACGGCGGGACCTTGCGGGGGATCCGGCAGGGACGGCGGGGACCTTGCGGGGGATCCGGCAGGGACGGCCGGACCTTGCGGGGGATCCGGCAGGGACGGCCGGACCTTGCGGGGGATCCGGCAGGGACGGCCGGACCTTGCGGGGGATCCGGCAGGGACGGCCGGACCTTGCGGGGGATCCGGCAGGGACGGCCGGACCTTGCGGGGGATCCGGCAGGGACGGGCCGGACCTTGCGGGGGATCCGGCAGGGACGGGCCGGACCTTGCGGGGGATCTGGCAGGGACCTTGTGGGAGATCCGGCAGGGGCGGCGGGACCTTGCAGGGGGACCCAGTAGGGATTGTGCAATCTTTGTGGGTCTAGATTGTTTCTTAGATACACAGAATATATCTGAGTGACTTTTGGGGGGTGGGGGGACCCCTGTATCATCTCCCCAAATCCCTCTTATGTGTAAAGGCACCCTGTGCCTATAAGGGGCGCAGGGTGCTCTGTCCGGATATTGTGTAGACATGTATAGGTGGGGTGTGTGGGGTTGTCCATTGTTCACTGCCATGTGGTTGCCCCCATTGTTCTATTGTGTCTTGCTTGCCAGCAAACTATTATGGGATGCATGTGTTCCCCTATTGTCCACTGCCAGGTGGTTGTGTGTCCCATTGTTCTATTATGTGTCTTGGTTTGGTGGGGGGTGTTTCCGGCAGCCCTTCCCTCCTGATGGGTCGGCCTGCTGATGTGTTTCTTGGTTGTTTTGCCCCGCCCTGTGTATATATCTTGTGTTTGTGTTAAAATAAAGCAGTTCACTTCCTGTCTTAAGAAGAGTCTGGTGCTGTCTATTTCCTGTATGGTCAGCGGTGGTGTCCGTGGATCTGTGTTCGGACAGGGAAGCTGGAGTATAGCGGAAATACCCAAGTGCGGTCTGGGTCCGGTTCCGTTACAAACTGGATATAACATTTATAGGTAAAGTTGATCCAGGGAATATCCGATTGCCTCTCAGGGGAATTTTTCCCTGCAGGAGCAAATTGGATCGTGCTTTGCTGGGTTGTTTTGCCTTCCTCTGGATCAACTGTGGGTGGAGGATTATGACTTTTTTTTTCTTTTCTATGGTTAAACTGGATGGACTTTTGTCTTTTTTCAGCCAGACTAACTATGTAACTATTGTAACCCGGCGGGGACGGTGGTGGGACCTTGCGAGTGATCCGGCAGGGGCGGTGGGACCTTGCGAGTGATCCGGCAGGGGCGGTGGGACCTTGCGAGTGATCCGGCAGGGGCGGTGGGACCTTGCGAGTGATCCGGCAGGGGCGGTGGGACCTTGCGAGTGATCGCGGCAGGGGCGGTGGGACCTTGCGAGTGATCCGGCAGGGGCGGTGGTTGGGACCTTGCGAGTGATCCGGCAGGGGCGGTGGGACCTTGCGAGTGATCCGGCAGGGGCGGTGGGATGCCTCGGGTGATCCAGCAAGGGCGGTGGGATGCCTCGGGTGATCCGGCAAGGGCGGCGGGACCTTGTGGTTGATCCGGCAAGGGCGGCGGGACCTTGTGAGTGATCCGGCAAGGACGGCGGGACCTTGTGAGTGATCCGGCAGGGACGGTGGGACCTTGTGGGTGATCCGGCAGGGACGGTGGGACGCCTCGGGTGATCCGGCAGGGGCGGATGGACGTTGTGAGTGATCCGGCAGGGACATTGGGACCTTGTGGTTGATCCAGCAGGGACGGTGGGACGTTATGGGTGATCCAGCAGGGACGGGATCCCCATCATAATGGCTGTAGCTGAAGTGGAAACCCAAGAACTTTTGTAGGCAGAGTCAACCGACCAGCCTGTGGTGCCCCCCCCTTCCTCAAGGAACATGCGACCCAAATTCTAAATCAAGCTCTCCGGTCTTTCGGCATTGAAAGATATATGAAATAGGTAAATGCTTCATGAAACTACATTACGGATAATAGCTGTACTTTCGTTTTTTGTTGTTCTTTTAGTTTCCCAGCATGTGATTGGGTATTCTTTGCATAGCGAAGCTTTACCTCTTTTACTAATTTCTGGAGCAAGTCACTTCCAGTGCACGGTATACTTGCACTAAGTCCCTCTGTGACGTCATACTGCACAACCTAAATTCAGCAGGTATGGAGGATGCTCCTTCAGCATTATGGGAAGACCTACTGTTTACAACTTTGTTTACATTCATGGTTTACAACCAGCTCACATGCCAGTTAGGAGGAGTGGCTACACTACGCCGTCAACCACACTAGCTCAGCAAACCATCCTACAGACGTCATCCGACAGCACCGGGTACCGGCCAGCATTTCTCAGGAATTACAGCAAGCTGCATAATGCATACTAGACAGTCAAGTTTCTGATTTCTGTCCATTCTGCACAACTTTTCGAAGGCAAAGAAATGCGAGTGTCCCTGAGGATGCCTAACCAGGAGCTTGCCTGGGTTGGGGGACTGTTCCCACCAATCAGCAAGGAGCGCAAGTTTTGCATCAGATAGACAATAACTTGCCCTTTCCATCCCCGGAACTCACCTATTGACGGTGCTCTTGTGGAGGAGTACCGGTCCGCCCCTCGTCCTGTACATGAGGCTGTTAGGCCGAAACTTCCCGCTTAGGACCTGCCCACGCCTGACCTAAGAGAAGAGGGCGCCACGTCACTCATTGTAAAACTCAGCCAATCCCAGCACGTCTCCAACTTCTCCAACCGTTACCTGGATGAGATTGGGGAACAATCCGGCCACCAGAACCCCTTTCACCAGTTCATCTTCATTGCTAAACTGGTTGCATAGAGCACCGTCATGCACACAGTCATGCGGATGCGGCACGAGATGGGCATCGTGAGCGTTGGCGGAGAACTGCGAGACCAGACCTGGGGAAGGGAGGGGAGAACACAAAAACATGCATTCATGTAAGAGCATCCAAGACATTATGTGCGACATTTCACTTAACCCCTTGCCTACCGGGCACTGTCACCCCCTTCCTGCCTACCGGGCACAGTCACCCCCTTCCTGCCTACCGGGCACAGTCACCCCCTTCCTGCCTACCGGGCACAGTCACCCCCTTCCTGCCTACCGGGCACAGTCACCCCTTCCTGCCTACTGGGCACAGTCACCCCCTTCCTGCCTACTGGGCACAGTCACCCCCTTCCTGTCCAGGCCAATTTCCAGCTTTCAGCGCTGTCACACTTTGATTGACAATTGCGCGGTCATGCAACACTGTACCCATATGAAATTTTTATGATTTTTTTGTGACAGAGCTCTATTTTGGTGGTATTTAATCACCTCGGGGGTTTTTTATTTTTTTCTTAAACAAACCAAAAACCACTGAAAATTTTGAAAAAAAAAAAAAGTTTTTTCTTAGTTTTTGTTATAAAATTTTGTAAATAAGTGATTTTTCTCCTTCACTGATGTGCGCTAATGAGGCTGCAGTGATGGGCACTGATAGGATGCACTGATGGACACTGATAGGTGGCACTGATGGGCATTGACAGGCATCACTGATGGGCACTGAAAGGCAGCACTAATATATGGCACTGATAGGTGGCACTGATGGACACTGATAGGCGGCACTGACTGGCAGCACTGATTGGCACTGATGGGTGGCACTGAAAGGCAGCTCAGATGGGCACTGATATGTGCCATTGATGTGCACTGGTAGACGCTGATATGTGGCATTGATGGGCACTGACAAGTGGCACTGCTGGGGCTACACTGATGATCAGTGCACATGTCCCCTCTGTGGAATGCAGATTACCGGCTCTCCTCTCCTCTGTCAGCGTGACAGCTCGAGAGGAGAGAAATGCCGATAACCGGCATTTCCCCTATTTACATGTGATCAGCTGTGATTGGACACAGCTGATCACATGACTGAGCCGACATCGTCGGCTTTTTCCGTGGATCGGTGATCCGCTGTGTCTTAGGGACACAGCGCACCGCCGATCGCCACACTGCGCTCTCCCTGAGCCGTGCATGCGCGGTGAGGAAGGGAGGACATCATATGACGTCCTCCCAGAACAAGAGAACCACCTTGCATCCATCATATTACTATATGGCGGATGGGAGGTGGTTAAAGAGAACCTGTCATGGTCGGGTATACGCTCCAATATTTAGGAATGACCTATTCCCAAGTTATTCAGCGTCACTAGTTTTTCAGGACAACTCTACAGCTTGAGAGTCGGTGTCCATATGGAGTCTTACAGCTACAACTGGCTAACCTGACACACGGTTCTGGAAGCAACACTGTTCTGCGCACTCAGATGGCGGGAGACATCAGACTGTCACCAGGGCAGCAACCGAATTCTGTTTGCCCCGACCATTAACCCCTCGCCCTCCTGAGAATTTACCCCCCTTCCTGAGCAGGCCATTTTCTGCGTTACAGTACTGCATTACATTAACTGACAATTGCGCGGTCATGCAACGCTGCACCCAAATATAGTTTACGCCCTTTTTTCCCCACGAATTGAGATTTTTCGGTGGTATTTGATCGCCTGTGCGGTTTTTTTTTTTTTTTATTTTTTTGCACTATAAACAAAAAAATCAACAATTTTGAGAAAAAAAAAAAATTTACTTTTTGCTATTAACTCCTTTGCGCGGCGCCTCCCGGCCCTTTAAGGCTTTCAGAAGCCGGGAAGTGGGGCTTAGGGTCATGTGACTGCCGTGACGCGCCGATCATGTGACCGCCGTGACGGCGTGTCACGGCGGTCACATAATCGGGAAAGTTCCCGATCGAAAGATCGGGACCTTTCCGTGAGCATTGGACATGTGTGCTGGGAGCTCGCAGGGCATGCACTCTCAGCACATATGTTCTTTTAATAGAACGCAAATGTGCAGCCGCTCGGGGTCTAGGCCCAGATGCCGGGAGGCCGCACATTTGCGTTCGGCCGGTGTGAAGAGGTTAAACACGTCCAGTAAAAAAATTACAATTTTGTCATAAATTTAAGCCACAATGTATTCTGCTCCGTGTCTTTGCTTAAAAAAAATAAAAAAAAATCCCAATACGTATAAATAAATTGGTTTACTTGAAAGTTAAAGTCTCATATATTAGTTTCACCTTTTAAGTTGCTGCACTGAAATAAATGAACTTTTGCACGATATTCTAATTTTTCGAGTTTCACCTGTATAGCAGGAATTCTGACATTGGGGGGAACTGATTTGGCGTCACTGACGTCCCCAGTGACACCAATACAGTGATCAGTGCTCAAAAAAAAAAAAAAAAAGCACTGACAGCATACTAATGGAACTGGGCAGGAAGGGGTTAACATGAGGGGCAATCAAAGGGTTAATTGCGTGATAGGAGTGTTTTACTAGGGGGCGGGAAGGGGGGTGGGAGGGTGTTCTTCACTGTAATCACACTGCTTTGGATAGCTGTGCTGTGCAGTGTGCCCGAGCTGACAGGGAGGAGGACTGTTAGTAAACAAAACAGTCCTCCTCCCCTTTGGAGGTGCTCGGCAATCACCAGGTGCCAGCGAGTAATCACCGTCCGGGACCCGGTGATTGACAGCCACGGCCGCGAATGGTGGCGCAGGAAGGGCTCACGTGCACCATCCAACCTATATATGCAAATTCATGCATATATACGTGATTTTGCGCACCCGTGGGGGCGCGGTGACCTTTTTTCTGGCAGCGCTCACCTTGGATGAAGCGCAGTGAGGACCTCGAGAGGACGTTGTCCTTTAGAAACTCTTCTCTGCAGAAATCTCTCCTCAGCCTGAGAACCTCCTTCCAGGTCTTTACAATCCGCACATATGCCAAGTGATCACTGCACGACTCCCCGCTGAATCTCGCCTTCACCTGCAACACAAAGAACCAATCACAGACTGTCCTGTTCACCTTCCAAGTTCCAGCCATTAAAGGGGAATCCAATTCACATCTCGCTTTTATCTTCTGGAAACGTCTTATTTAGATTGTAACATCTTGCAAAGGAGCGTCTTTTCAGCTTTTATGCCTGATACACCACGTTAAAGGCATTATAGACGTACCTCGGTTTACGAATTTAATTCATTCCGCAGGACATTCCGTATAACGAAAAATTTGTAAACCGAAATGCAGTTTCCCGTAGAAGTGCATTGAAAACCAATTAATCCATTTCGAAGGTCAGAAAAAAGTGCTACTAAAATACGGCAGGAGTTATTTTATCAAGTCATGCGGTATTTTAGTAGCGACAACCATGTGTTAATGCTTCAGCTGTCAGCGGGGTTCCCCACTGACTGTTGAATGTAAAAGAATTGCCGGCAATTAAAAAAAAAAAATGTAAAAAACGACGTGCGGTCCCCCCTCCCATCCATACCAAGCCCTTCGGGTCTGGTATGGATTTTGAAGGGAGCTCGCAAGCCAAAATTAAAAAAAAAAATGGCGTGGGGTCCCCCCCCAAAATCCTTACCAGACCCTTATCTGAGCATGCAGCCCGGCAGGTCAGGAAAGGGGGGGGGGGCGAGCAAGCGCCCCCCCGAACCATACCAGGCCACATGCCCTCAACATGGGGTGGGGTGCTTTGTTGATGGGGACAAGGGCCTCTTTCCCACAACCCTGGCTGATGGTTGTGGGCAAGGGCCTCTTCCCCACAACCCTGGCTGATGGTTGTGGGCGTCTGCGGGCGGATTATCGGAATGTGAAACCCCCTTGTTGGTCCCCAGATCCCGACCCCTCCCCCTATGTAAATGAGTATAGGGTACTTGGTCCCAATACTCATTCACAAAAAACAAAAAGTGTAGTCTTAAAAAAGACAGGACAAGTCCTTTAGTAAAAGAAAAAACTAAAAGAATGTCCCCCCGCAGTAGATCATTAACACGTTTGTGTTCAAACATGGAGGCAGGAGGCATGGCACTGCACATAGTAACTTATGACCTCTGCCTGCAGTGTGAGAACTGAAACTTCCTGTGAAGACATTACACATCCCACAATCCCTGGGTCTCCGAGTGCACTGCAGGTGGGAGCTACACAGTAATTAAATCAGACACAGACACAAGCAGGCAGAGCAATTAACAGCTCGCCATGCAGTCTTTCGTCACATTAGCAACTCCCACATCTGTGAAACGGTGAGGCATGGCTTGGATGCAGCATAACCCCGAAGAAGAAGTCCCTTTTAGCAAATAGGGACAAGCTAGGTGAATGAATACATGGACATGGGAGAACTGAATACATGGAAATAGGGACAAGCTGGGTGAATGAATACATAGACACGGGAGAACTGATCAGCCATGACACTACAAATTGCAGCCACATTCGAGCCGATCATTACAAGGGAAGACTAACAAAACACACAGGGGATGGAACTACACTGATAGCGAGTTAGAACAACAAAACATTTGAAAGTGTACACTGCCTTTAATGTTTTGGGAGGTTTTATTGTGACTTTTATAGCTCCCACATATTCTATAGCGCATTACAATTTGGGGAAGCCTCAGAGCCAATGCAGAGATGTCTCCTCCACTAGAATTTCCCAACATAAACCCATGCAGGATGGCTCTGGTAATGTTTTATGCTGTCTATTGATTTGGAAAGTCCCATAAAGCTTTGGTGGAGGAAAAGTTTTTGGAACTTTGCTATCTTCAACCCTCCCAGTTTATAGCTCACTGCTCTCCTGGATTTCTTCCCAGTGATCACTTCATTCAGATGGTGGAAAGCAGTCACACCCTGCCCTCTCCACAACCTCTATAGGTCCCTCTCTTGCTTAGTCCTGGTTTTTCTTCCCTTATCTTTACAGAAGAGCCCCATCTGGGAGGAGTAGGAAATTAATTGAAAGATTCCAGCCCACGCTCACCTTGTTGACCTCGGCCCGGTTTAGCACTCCTCCAAGGAATGGGTCTCTGGTCAAAGAGGCCACAATGGTCAGTAGGGGCTGCAGACAGCGGAAATTGGCGGATAGGACGATCGCCTTGGCCAGGCTGGGGTCAGTGGAGATGTTGGCCACATGCTGACCCAGTGTTGTCAGTCCCTCCTTTTCATCCAGCACCCCTGGAATACAGGTGGAGGATTAGGAAAAAGCTCTGCATGTAATATGTCATAGCTACTTAAAACATTGTAGGAGATAGGGGGGTGGGGGGGAAGCTACGCTGACCGTGGGGAGACGGGGGTGGGGGGGGAGCTACGCTGACCGAGGGGAGACGGGGGTGGGGGGGGAGCTACGCTGACCGAGGGGAGACGGAGGGGGGGAGCTACGCTGACCGAGGGGAGACGGAGGGGGGGAGCTACGCTGACCGAGGGGAGACGGAGGGAGGGAGCTACGCTGACCGAGGGGAGACGGAGGGGGGGAGCTACGCTGACCGAGGGGAGACGGGGGGGGGAGCTACGCTGACCGAGGGGAGACGGGGGGGGGGGGAGCTACGCTGACCGAGGGGAGACGGGGGGGGGAGCTACGCTGACCGAGGGGAGACGGGGGGGGAGCTACGCTGACCGAGGGGAGACGGGGGGGGGAGCTACGCTGACCGAGGGGAGACGGGGGGGGGAGCTACGCTGACCGAGGGGAGACGGGGGGGGGGGAGCTACGCTGACCGAGGGGAGGGGGGGGGGGGGGGGGAGCTACGCTGACCGAGGGGAGACGGGGGGGGGGGAGCTACGCTGACCGAGGGGAGACGGGGGGGGAGCTACGCTGACCGAGGGGAGACGGGGGGGGGGGGAGCTACGCTGACCGAGGGGAGACGGGGGGGGGGGGGGGAGCTACGCTGACCGAGGGGAGACGGGGGGGGGGAGCTACGCTGACCGAGGGGAGACGGGGGGGGGGGAGCTACGCTGACTGAGGGGAGACGGGGGGGGGGGGAGCTACGCTGACCCCAGTCACATCAAGCCTGACTATGAAATTGTGTACAGACATGCCGATTTCAGGTTTCCGATGTCTTGCAAATCGCACCAAAAGTAGTGCCTGTAGTAGATTAGAAATCGATGCGGCTCCGACCGATATCACCGCTCTAATTGCAGACAATAGGGTCCGACTTGGCATGTGACCGGGGTGTAAGCACAAAACTCCATTTAAAAAAAATAAATAAATAAATCACCCCTCCGAGCCCCACCAGTCCAAAGCCCCTCCCAGTACAAATGAACCCCCCTCCCCCTTAAATGTATCCTCCAAGCATAAATACGTCCCAAATAATTCTTACTAGATAAAATCCCCCCCACCCAAAAAAAATAAATATTTCCTTCCTAGCACAAATCCCTCTCCCTCCCTCTACCATATGACCACTCCTAGCACAAATCCCCCCCCCCAAATCACCACTCCTAGCACCCCCTCAGGAACAATTCTTATCCCCTGCCTTCCCCCTCCCAACACAAATTCCCTTCCCCTCCATCTCCATGTTCAGCACCCTTCCAGACAATGATCGGTCTAGATTACAAACAGGCCAGAGATTCAGGATAGCAGAGACAGGACACCTACGGATTTCCTGCAGCAACAGCACTGCATTTTGGATGGCGAGCTTGTCGGGACATTCCAGCGCTCGTGAGAGGAATTCTACCGCCTAAAACAAAACAAAAAAAAAAGATGTAAGTTACAAAATGCCGGAACGGCACAACAAACCAAATAACTGCCACGCCGTGCCATCTCACCGTCATCTCCGGGGTGTGTATCTTGGCCTGAAGGACCAGATTTTCCAGGGGCGTTCGCAGGATCTCCGGTATCTGGAAGTCGGCCATTGACTGGTGCTGCTGTTGGGTGAAGAGATGGTAGGAGAAGCCAGGCTGGCAGCGCCCCGCTCTCCCTCGTCTCTGAATGACGTTGGATTTAGACACCCAGAAGGTCTCCAGACAGGAAACCTGCAGAAGTAAGGCAGCAATCGGTACGTGGCGGAGCACCGGGCGTACACATATCAGTACAGAGGGCGGAGCTCCGGGCGTACATATATCAGTACAGAGGGCGGAGCTCCGGGCGTACATATATCAGTACAGAGGGCGGAGCTCCAGGCGTACACAGTACAGAGGGCGGAGCTCCGGGCGTACACATCAGTACAGAGGGCGGAGCTCCGGGCGTACACATCAGTACAGAGGGCGGAGCTCCGGGCGTACACATATCAGTACAGAGGGGGAGCTCCGGGCGTACACATATCAGTACAGAGGGCGGAGCTCCGGGCGTACACATATCAGTACAGAGGGCGGAGCTCCGGGCGTACACATATCAGTACAGAGGGCGGAGCTCCGGGCGTACACATATCAGTACAGAGGGCGGAGCTCCGGGCGTACACATATCAGTACAGAGGGCGGAGCTCCGGGTGTACACATATCAGTACAGAGGGCGGAGCTCCGGGGGGAAAAAGCTATATACTGTCCACATATCAGTACAGAGGGCAGAGCCCTGGGCATACTCATATCAGTAGAGGGCGGAGCTCCGGGTGTACATGGCTATATACTGTCCACATATCAATACAGAGGGTAGTACTAAGATCTGTGGATCTCTATAAGAACATTGTCACCCCCAAGGCTGGACTGGGTCATGATCTACTGTCTATGGCAGCCTCTCAATTAGGGTATCTCCAGATGTTGTCAGGGGTTCCTCATGCAACAAGCAAGTCTGCCTTCCAGATAAGGAATCACTGAAACCAATGAGGGGCATTTGTCCCACTGACCACCAATGTACTGAAGCCTTTCTACTAAAGGCCCCCAATGTAAGGGACATTCTTTCCACTGACCCCCAACGTAAGGGGCATTCTTCCCACTGACCCCCAATGTAAGGGGCATTCTTCCCACTGACCCCCAATGTAAGGGGCATTCTTCCCACTGACCACCAATGTAAGGGACATTCTTCCCACTGCCCCCCAATGTAAGGAGGATTCTTCTCACTGACCCCCAATGTAAGGAGGATTCTTCTCACTGACCACCAATGTAAGGGGCATTCTTCCCACTGATCCCCAATGTAAGGGACATTCTTCCCACTGACCCCCAATGTAAGGGCCATTCTTCCCCCTGACCCCCAATGTAAGGGACATTCTTCCCACTGATCCCCAATGTAAGAGACATTCTTCCCACTGACCACCAATGTAAGGGGCATTCTTCCCACTGACCACCAATGTAAGGGGCATTCTTCCCACTGACCACCAATGTAAGGGGCATTCTTCCCACTGACCACCAATGTAAGGGGCATTCTTCCCACTGACCACCAATGTAAGGGACATTCTTCCCACTGACCACCAATGTAAGGGACATTCTTCCCACTGACCCCCAATGTAAGGGGCATTCTTCCCACTGACCACCAATGTAAGGAACATTCTTCCCACTGACCACCAATGTAAGGGGCATTCTTCCCACTGACCACCAATGTAAGGGGCATTCTTCCCACTGACCACCAATGTAAGGGACATTCTTCCCACTAACCACCAATGTAAGGGACATTCTTCCCACTGACCACCAATGTAAGGGACATTCTTCCCACTGACCACCAATGTAAGGGACATTCTTCCCCCTGACCCCCAATGTAAGGGACATTCTTCCCCCTGACCCCCAATGTAAGGGACATTCTTCCCCCTGACCCCCAATGTAAGGGACATTCTTCCCACTGACCACCAATGTAAGGGACATTCTTCCCACTGACCCCCAATGTAAGGGACATTCTTCCCACTGACCCCCAATGTAAGGGGCATTCTTCCCACTGACCACCAATGTAAGGGGCATTCTTCCCACTGACCACCAATGTAAGGGGCATTCTTCCCACTGACCACCAATGTAAGGAACATTCTTCCCACTGACCACATATGTAAGGGGCATTCTTTCCACTGACCACCATGTTTGGTACCTTTGTCCGGAGGTCGTATCGCTGTTCCTTCTGCATTCCACAATCCACAACATGAACGATGTCGTCAATCGTCACCGAAGTCTCCGCAATGTTGGTGGCCAGGACAATTTTACGCACGCCAGGAGGTGGGCGCTGGAATATGGACTGCTGGTCATTCAATGGAATGTTGGAATGAACTATAATGGGGGAGAAAGAAAAAAAAATCGGGGGGGGAGCTATGACAACAGAGCCGTGCTCTATGGGGATTCCAGTGAAGGAGGTACAAGACGACCATGACTGCTTCACTCAGTAAGGACAAGCCCAAGTCTCCCTCCTCATGTCTCCAAATCTGTCACAAGAGTGTTGTAGAGCAAACTGAATGAATGTCTGCAGCCCTAAATGCTGCTCTATGATTGGACACTGCAGATAACTATTCAAAATGGCCGCCCACAGAGAATTTAGCAATATCTGTTATCAGAAATGTGACTTTATATAGGTCGTGTATTCCGTCCTCTAGATACAGATCTATGGTGGTCTAGATCTATGGATGATATGTGGAGTCCCATGGGGTGGTCTAGATCTATGGATGATATGTGGAGTCCCATGGGGTGGTCTAGATCTATGGATGATATGTGGAGTCCCATGGGGTGGTCTAGATCTATGGATGATATGTGGAGTCCCATGGTGACTCCACATATCATCGCCACCACACAGACTTTCCATGCTCAGAGCCACCAATCAATCATCCCCATGAGATGTCCAATTGACCCTCCCAGCAGTTCTCTATTAGAACACCACTGACCTCTAAGCAGGGGTGGAGCTTAGTATTCCTTGAGAAAAAATACGGCTGCCTAAGCCCCTCCCCCACGCATCAATCTGATTGATACACTATTAGTACAGGCCACCTTTGCAGTGCCTCGTCTGGAATGTCTCCACCCACCTGGTAAGATAAGATGTTTCCCATCAGACAGGGTCTCCTGCAGCATCTCCTGGACTCCACGGATCTCCTGCCAGCCGGGTAGGAAGCACAAAATGCTGCCTGCAAGACAAACCGAGACACTAACAATACCGGCACCATGATCACGGAATACACAGTGGACTGTTCGGACTCTCTCTTTGTCCTGGTGACCACCATCACAAAGACAGGAAGAGGGGAAAGCAAAAACGGTATGGTTGTCACCAGAACAATGGTACGGGAAACACTTCCACTGGTTTACTGACCAAAAATCAAGAGGGGATTTCCTTCTACTTTCACAGTTGGTTCTCTGGACAGGAAGTGATGGCATGCTACTTCATTGACTCTTACTGGGCTCTCCATGCCGGTCGATGGGACATAGGATGTACATAGCACGCCCTGCCCCTCCCCCTTACTATATATTACAGCCATGACTCTTACTGGGCTCTCCATGCTGGTTGATGTGACATAGGATGTATATAGCACTTCCTGGCTCCCCCCCTTCCTAAATATTACAGCCATGACTCGTACTGGGTTCTCCATGCTGGTTGACGTGACATAGGATATACATAGCATGCCCTGCCCCTCCCCCTACTATATATTACAGCCATGACTCCTACTGGGCTCTCCATGCTGGTTGATGTGACATAGGATGTACATAGCACGCCCTGCCCCCGCCCCTTACTATATATTATAGCCATGACTCCTACTGGGCCTCCCCATGCTGGTTGATGTGACATAGGATGTACATAGCACGCCCTGCCCCTCCCCTTACTATATTACAGCCATGACTCTTACTGGGCTCTCCATGCTGGTTGATGTGACATAGGATGTACATCGCACGTCCCTCCCCCCCTTACTATATATTACAGCCATGATTCTTACTTACCAGGCTCTCCATGCTGGTCAATGTGACAATGACCCTGCTAATCAGATTTAGATCGGGAAGGCATTCTTCATTGGTCTGAAAGAGAGAGAAGGCAGGGTGGGGTTATAGCCCCTGTATGAAAAGATCAACTTCATGTCAAGTGAACTTGTCCCTCAAGTAACCACATAGTGCACCCACCTGAAAAAATACTTACCTCCCCTCCCTGATCCAGTTATCTTCACTGTGCGGCCCAGACCAGCATGCACAGCCTTTGGAAAGACAACATCCCGGTGGCCAGCTCCTCTTCCTACTGCCCCATTCATTTCAATAGGTGCGCCGTACTCATGGTGAGCTTCAACCATTTAGAAGGAGCGCGGCTCATCCATATGAACGAATAGGGTTGTAGCAGAGGGGGTGATTAATGGACAACTAAAAGTGAAGGTTGTACTTAAATGATCATGGCAGGTCAGGCATCAAGGTGACAAAGAAGGCAATGCTGGCCAATAGCAGAACTATCATTGTCCCTCGGATGATTGATGGCTGGAAATGACTAATGAGAAGCTGCGGAAGGTCCCATCTCCTTTCTACAATCTCCTTTCAACCCCTGAGTCTTCACCAAGCCCTACTTATGCTGCTAAGTGGGAGGAGGATCTCGGATATCAGCTGAGCCCTACAGATTGGGATCGCATCTGGTTGGCAACCAAGTCCTCCTCGCAGAACGAGACCAACTATAAAGTCTTGACTCGGTGGTACCTGGTCCCAGCAAGGATTGCTACCCCAGTTGCTCCCCAGATTGTTTTCGGGGCTGTGCGATGGTAAGAACATATTTCCATACTTTGTGGTCTTGCCCAGATGATTCACGCCAAAGTGGAAGCAACCATCCCCACGTTTTTGTTGATCTGGACCCCCTGGGTGGAACGTTTCCTTTCTCCGAAATTTGACGAATCAATGCTTCTTCCTTAACATTCCCGCCTCGTCCTTTGGTGGTCCTATGTGCAACTCATACACTGGTCCGGTCCCAAGATTACCCCCTATTTTCCGGAAGTCACACATCCCCCCTCCCCCCCGGTCTCTTCTTCTCTTTCTACCCGTTGCCGCTATTCGTCCTTCGCCTACCATGGAACCCGCACATAATTCTTGGGAGCAGTACTCCCTGGTTTGGCTATAACCGTGTTTTGCCTCTCTTTGCATTACATTATCCTTTTATGTTCAACTATGGTTCCTTGTTGTCTCTATTTGTATGACATTTTCACTTGGCTTCATGGCAACATGTCCTTTGTAAATGTATTTTGTTACAGACTTTGGAAAATCGATAAAATGTTTGAACAAGGAGAAGCTGGGGAAGGAGCCTAGGGAATGAAGCGCTTATGGGCAGCACAGTGGCTGAATGGTTAGTACTTCTGCCTGGCAGTACTGGGGTCGTTGGTTCGTCTTCCAACCAGGGCTCCACCTGCCTGGAGTTTGCATGTTCTCCCTGTATGGGTTTTTCCTCTGGGTGCTCCGGTTTCCTCCCACACTCCAAAGACATGCTGGTAGGTTAATTAGATCCTATCTATATTGGCCCTAGTATGTACAGTTAGGGACCTTAGATTGTACGCCCCTTGAGGGTTAGGGACTGATGTGAATGTACAATATACAGGTGAAACTTGAAAAATTAGAATATCGTGCAAAAGTTCATTTATTTCAGTGCAGCAACTTAAAAGGTGAAACTAATATATGAGACTCATTACATGCAAAGCAAGATAGTTCAAGCCGTGATTTGTCATCATTGTGATGATTATGGCTTACAGCTCATGAAAACCCCAAATCCACAATCTCAGAAAATGAGAATATTCCATGCAATCAATAAAACACGGATTGTACATAGAACAATATCGGACCTCTGAAAAGTAGAAGCTGCATATGTACTCAGTACTTGGTTTGGGCCCCTTTTGCAGCAATTACTGTCTCAATGCGGCGTGGCATGGAAGCTATCAGCCTGTGGCACTGCTGAGGTGTTATGGAAGACCAGGATGCTTCAATAGCGGCCTTCAGCTCTTCTGCATTGTTCGGTCTCATGTCCCTCATCTTTCTCTTGGCAATGCCCCATAGATTCTCTATGGGGGTCAGGTCAGGCGAGTTTGCTGGCCAATCAAGCACAGTAATCCCACGGTCATTGAACCAGGTTTTGGTGCTTTTGGCAGTGTGGGTGGTGCCAAGTCCTGCTGGAAAATGAAGTCAGCGTCCCCATAAAGCTCGTCTGCGGAAGGAAGCATGAAGTGCTCCAAAATCTCCTGGTAGACGGCTGCGGTGACCCTGGACTTAATGAAGCACAGTGGACCAACACCAGCAGATGACATGGCTCCCCAAATCAACACAGATTGTGGAAACTTCACACTGGACTTCAAGAATCTTGCAGTGTGTGCCTCTCCATTCTTCCTCCATACTCGGGGTCCTTGGGCCTCTCCATTCTTCCTCCATACTCGGGGTCCTTGGGCCTCTCCATTCTTCCTCCATACTCGGGGTCCTTGGGCCTCTCCATTCTTCCTCCATACTCGGGGTCCTTGGGCCTCTCCATTCTTCCTCCATACTCGGGGTCCTTGGGCCTCTCCATTCTTCCTCCATATTCGGGGTCCTTGGGCCTCTCCATTCTTCCTCCATACTCGGGGTCCTTGGGCCTCTCCATTCTTCCTCCATACTCGGGGTCCTTGGGCCTCTCCATTCTTCCTCCATACTCGGGGTCCTTGGGCCTCTCCATTCTTCCTCCATACTCGGGGTCCTTGGGCCTCTCCATTCTTCCTCCATACTCGGGGTCCTTGGGCCTCTCCATTCTTCCTCCATACTCTGGGTCCTTGGGCCTCTCCATTCTTCCTCCATATTCGGGGTCCTTGGGCCTCTCCATTCTTCCTCCATACTCGGGGTCCTTGGGCCTCTCCATTCTTCCTCCATACTCGGGGTCCTTGGGCCTCTCCATTCTTCCTCCATACTCGGGGTCCTTGGGCCTCTCCATTCTTCCTCCATACTCGGGGTCCTTGGGCCTCTCCATTCTTCCTCCATACTCGGGGTCCTTGGGCCTCTCCATTCTTCCTCCATACTCGGGGTCCTTGGGCCTCTCCATTCTTCCTCCATACTCAGGGTCCTTGGGCCTCTCCATTCTTCCTCCATACTCAGGGTCCTTGGGCCTCTCCATTCTTCCTCCATACTCTGAGTCCTTGGTTTCCAAATGACATGCAAAAGTTGCTCTCATCAGAAAAGAGGACTTTGGACCACTGAGCAGCAGACCAGGTCTGTTTTTCTTTAGCCCAGGTAAGACGCTTCTGACGTTTTTGTTGTTGTTCAGGAGCGGCTTGACAAGAGGAATACGACATTTGAAGCCCATGTCCAGGATCCGTCTGTGTGCGGTGGCTCTTGATGCACTGACTCCAGCCTCAGTCCACTCCTTGTGAAAGTCCCCAACACTTTTGAATGGCCTTTTCCTGACAATCCTCTCCAGGCTGCGGTCATCCCTGCTGCTTGTGCACCTTATTCTTCCACACTTTTCCCTTCCACATAACTTTCTATTAATGTGCTTTGATACAGCACTTTGGGAACATCCAACTTCTTCTGCAATTCCCTTTTGAGGCTTTCCCTCCTTATGGAGGGTGTCAGTGATGGTGTCAGGTCAGCAGTCTTTCCCATGATTGTGATTCCTACTGAACCAGACAGAGACCATTTAAAGGCTCAGGAACCCTTTGCAGGTGTTATGGCTGAATGAGCTGATTAGAGTGGGACACTTTGAGCCGAGAATATTGCACCTTTTCACAATATTCTCATTTTCTGAGATTGTGGATTTGGGGTTTTCATGAGCTGTAAGCCATAATCATCACAATGATGACAAATCACGGCTTGAACTATCTTGCTTTGCATGTAATGAGTCTCATATATTAGTTTCACCTTCTAAGTTGCTGCACTGAAATAAATAAACTTTTGCACCAGATTCTAATTTTTTGAGTTTCACCTGTATATGTAAAGCGCTGCCACCTTCTAAGCCTATTGACTCACATTCACCTTTCCTGGAAGGATGCCTCCATAGTCTGTCCCCATGGCCCTGGCACCTCCTAATCCTATTGGTCCACATTCACCTTTCCTGAGATGATGGGGCAATAGTCTGTCCCACACCTCTGCCACCCTTTAAGCCTTACTATTGGCCCATTACTATGTCAAATGGACCTGTGGACTAGTGTGGCTTAAAATATTGGAGGTCTCCTTTACATTCCACATTAAACGTAAGGGTAACGGATGGATTAAGGTGTTATGTTGGGTTATGGTTACGTTTCAGAGTCGAGGTGAGGTAGGTTGTGATGCTCAGCCATAAGGTTAGGTTAAAGTGTATATGAAGCCACTGGTTTTGTATGCCTTCTATGGTTAGGAAGGGTTAGAACCCACATATAATTATTTTATTGCTTGAGAACTTGAGAAAATGAGGAAAGGTGGGGGCGGGGAGCGCGGGATGTACTAAAGCACAGGTGCTCAAAGTCAGGTCTATGGCAATGTAGAGGAAATGACTCTCCTTAGGCAGCTCTATCAGGTATGGTGGCCAAAGAGCGGCTCTGTCGCAGTGAGGAGGAAAGCAAATCAAAGTGTATAAAGCCCAAATTCAATTTTTATTCAGTCATTTCATAAAAAGCCAACATGTCTCAGGGATTCAGAGCCCCCCCCTTCACCACGGCTCGGTACTGTTGTACAAAGTGTGAACTGAACTGATGAAAGTTGGAGGTATCTCGAGGATTAGTAGAATGGCTCAAGATGCCATCTCTTATGATCCCTCCAATGTCATCAGTCCATTACACACACACATACATACGTTGCTCAAAAGAACCAAGCCCTGATGAAGGGGGGGAGAGCCTTTCAACCACCAGAAAAGCGTTGGCTTTTTAGGATAGGATTCTAAATAAAAGTGTAAATCCGCACTTTGCAAAATAACCTTTTAGTTCAAAATAAAAAAAGAAAGGAAAACAATTTTGTAATTTTATACAAAACATTATAATACCATTTTCCCCTTCTTATAAGTGATCACATGCTCTATGTTCTCGGCTGCAGCAAGAGCTTAGAGAGGTGGGGGAGGAGGAACAGCAGCA